AAGGAGGGGGGAAAAAACAAAAAAAAAAAAAAAAAAAAAAATGAAGAAGAAGAAGAAGAAGAAGTGGATCTAAGTATTTTCTCTGTATTTCACAAGGATGCCTCACTCAATGAAATTGCCCTTTTCTTTACAATATTCCAGCAATTAAACAAAGTTAGCCCTTGTTTTGGCTCTATTAGAATGAGATTTTCGAAGAAAATATTTTGTAGTAGTATTTTTTTAGAGATGTGTGATTAAAAAGTAACAAAAATTTTAAATTTATGTATAACATTATTTTATGGAAAAATGTGATTGAAAATGAATTTTGAAAAAAAATGCATTTTTCAAAAAATAAAGCCCAAACTTGAGCTTATTCTATAAAATTTTTCCTAAATTTATTTATAATTTTCATGTCAATTTTAGTCATCAATAAGATTCAATTATGAAAATGACATATTCTTGTAATTTTGCTGAATGAAAAATCAAATTAAGTTAGAAAATGAAAATAAAAGTAAAAATAAAAATAAAAATCATGTAATGGTATAACATTGACAAAACCGAGGAAAATGAAATTATTTTCTTCTAAAAACGTAATGAATGGAAGTAATAAACAAAATGAATTAAAAAATAAAAATAAAATTCCTGATTGTACCGAATTAAATGAACAAAAAAAGTTAAAAAAAAAACACACACACACACACACAAATATATATGTAGTTCTAAGATAAGATTGCCTAGAGAAAAAAAGGGTTCAACCAACGTAGTGTACTTCAACAAAAAGAAAAAAACATAATGAGAAAACTCATCATGTATGGGTTTTTAGGATTGTCTCCTATGAAGCTAATCGATATTTATACGACATCATTGGCATATTTTAAGGTTTTTTCTTGATGAGAAAGGCAAGGAACTTTTGGGATTTTCTTGACTTGTAAAGATGAAAGACATCAAAAACAAAAAGGCAAAGAGAAGTTAGAGGAGAAGTGGGAAATTTTGAAAATACCAAAGTTGCCTCATTCAGAAATGGTTATTTCCATGTCACTTTTGGAAGATTACCATCCAAAAGTCATTCGGCTGCATATTTTCCCAATCGGCAATGGTAGCAGAGCCACAACTACAAGAAAGTTTCCAGACTTATTTGCACATTTTGAAAATGTTAAGGACTTAAGGTATAATTTTTGATATCATTTTAATGCAAAATTTCATTCATTTTTGTCCTCTCCATAAATTGGACTGACCCGACCCGGGAACCATTATACAGTAAGCAACTACGACACGTCAAAGTCGATTGACACCTAACCCCAATCTCAGCCGTCAATACCAGTCCACGACTCCATCCAGTCATCCAATCATCAACCCCTCCAAATCCACGCTGGACTCTCTCTTTCTCTCTCTCTGTCTCCCTCTCTCTCTCAGCCTGAAAATCGTCGACACAGCGATTCCACCGTGTCGACGATCTCTCACGAACGAAGCTCTAATTTTCTCTCCCTAAATCGAATGAGATTCAGTGTTTTTCTTACTTACCACCTCATTTTTTGATACATATATGATATAATTAAAGTTTATTTGGCTGTTGGGTGACTGAGTTGAGTCAGTAGTTCAGATTGACCGAGTTGCGGATACGGTAATCATTTTAATCAAGTTTATGCTGTTAAATCTTTATAATTTTTATTGATGTATGTTAGTTTATGTAAATTTTCTTGGCTTTTGATAGTTTTGTGGATAAAATTAGGTCACACATATATTTTTTCCTGCATCTGTGTGTAAATGCGTGGGTAGTAGGTGTACTTTTTATTTCCTTCGTTTATGTTTCGTGGAAAGATTCTAATTAAATTAATATTTTATTTTTATCTTCGAATATAGTTGAATAATGTTAATTTCTTGCTTACCACCTCCTTTTTTAATGTATATGTTATAGTTAAAAGCTTTATCTGGGTGATTTTTGATAGTTAGAGAACACAGTGGTTTTTTAATGTGTATGTAACTGAGTTGACTCGCTAGTTCAGATTTACGGAGTTACTGCCGCTTTTGGCTTTTGCATTACATTATTTATTTATTTATTTATTTTTTGGTTTGTTTTGTTTTATTTTTATTTTTATTTTTTAAGTTGAATTCAAGCAGTTTAAATCTTTGTAATTTTTATTCAAGTTATTTTAATCTAATATGCCCGAAAGTTCTTAGGTTTTGGTGTTTTTAGTTATTATATTTCTTTTGTGTTTCTGGATAAACTTATGTTTCATGTACATTTCCTTGTGTCTATGTGTATATGCTTGGATATAGTGTGAATGTATTCTTGTTTTAACGATTTTAAAAGTCTATTTGATTTGATCGTTGAATATGGTTGATTGAGGTTACTTTCTTTCTCAGTAGTTGACAAGTTTTCAATATTTTATCCAAGTTTACATATCTAATCCTACGATATTACATAAATGGATCTTAAAGTTTTCATGTGCTGGGCGAAGAGTTACTTGTTGTACTTGACTTCCGAATGTAACAGGATGTTTTTGTTTTGTACAGACGCACATTCATGTGTATAACATAATGGTTTGACTGATATTGGAGGAAGTGGTGTAGTCTCGACAATGGGTAGTGCTGAGATGGATAAATCTTCTAAGGAGGGCAAAGAAACAAAGGAGTCAAAAATTTCTTCTTCGCAGGTAATACTGTGTGGGGATTTTTGATTTTAATGCATGTTTGTGTTAGCTAGTTGGAAATGGTTTATTTATTTATTTATTTTTGAAATTTTTAGGAGCAGAATTCAGCAACTTCTGGTATGGTTACTGCTGAATGGGCTGCCTTTCAGGTTAAAAGATTTCTGGAAGATACCCACTTGGCCTTTATGCTCATTTGTCAGCATTTTAGAATTGGTAGTTATGGGGGTGTTGGTTGTGGTTGTGCAGGGGTATTCTCCTATGCCTTCACATGGGTTCTTGGCATCAAGTCCGCAACCGCACCCATATATGTGGGGAGTTCAGGTACCTTTTTACTTTTATGTTTAGTCTCAAGTATTATCAAGCTATTATTTCACATTGCTGTTGTTATTGTATCGATGCAAAATTATCAAATGAAAGGATTTCATATGCACTATCATAGCACCAAAAAAGGAGTTCTAATCCAGGTCGTGGATCAGTAAATTCATCCAATCTCCATAACAATCCTAATGTGTCTAAGTTTTATTTATGGAGTGTAATTGGATCAAGATCTGACCTTGTCCCATGAAATATCCATGAGGTTCCTCTTTTAAAAAGTTCCCAAGAGGGCCTAGATGATCCATAATTTTTTTTCCATTTTTCCTTTCCTTTATTCACTTCCTTATGTTGTTTTAAAAATTAATGTATACTCGTACTAACAAGTAACTTGAAATGGTTAACAAACAGAGATGGTCCATGATAGGATTAAACTAGAAGTTGAAACAGCTTGACATAGCTTAATTATGCGGGGGATAAGCTTCATGGATCTGTAAATATTGCTTATTTAATCTGAGAAAGCATATTCCTCATTGACTTAGCTGACATTCTTCGAGGCTTTACTATTTCTCTATCGTTTTTGAACATCGAATCTGCATGTTACGATTGAGCATATATAAAAGATCTTTGGATTTTTCAATCATATATGAAACTAGTCATGCTCAATCATATAAAATGCCAACTACCTTCAATGAATATATAATTGCTTCATAGGCATGCTTCTGGATTCCCACCGGGATGTTCTTCTGCTTTGGTGCATGACACACCCTGGACTCTCTCCCACTCCTTGGGGAGAAAGACGCAGAATTTGGCAAACCATCTTTTATTTTTCTGAACATATTCGCCTTTTATGTTAAAATGTTTAATTTTAATTTATTTTTAAGTGTTTTCACTCTCCTTACTGGACATTTCCTAGAAAACATGGTTAAAGAGCTCTTATATAAAGCTTGCTATTTCTACTGGGTTGGAATAATACAAAGACCATAATTAGGCAAGGTCTAGGATCCCACCAATTTGTGAGGCCCATTCATCTGAAACTAGTTTCCCAATGATATCTTTGGATAGTAATGTTCAATTTATCATTTTCATGTCAATTGATGTTGCTATTTTGCCCTTGAAAATTTAATGATTATTTTTAAGATCGTAATTTTTGTTTGAAATTATTAATTGCAGCAATTTATGCCACCCTTCGGCACTCCACCCCATCCATACGTTGCAATGTATCCCCCCGGGAGTATATATGCACATCCAACTATTCCTCCAGTATGTTGTTGCTTTGTTTGTTAATACATAGCTAGATCATAATCCTTTATTGAATTCTCTAACATTTTTATGGTGTCTTAAAAACTTGATTAGGGATCATACCCTTTCAGCCCTTTTGCTATGCCATCTCCAAATGGTATTGCTGAAGCTTCTGTGAGTTACTGTACCACTTGTTATATTCCCTATCTTTCTTCTCCATTGTTTTTTTCCTTATTATAATTTCCATTGCTGACATTATTTCCCATGACCTCTTGGTAAAATGATTTTCAATATGACTTATAGCCTAACACTCCCGGCAACATGGAACTGGATGGTAAGTCATCTGAGGGGAAGGAAAAACTTTTGATTTTAATGCATGTTTGTGTTAGCTAGTTGGAAATGGTTTATTTATTCATTTATTTATTTTTGAAATTTTTAGGAGCAGAATTCAGCAACTTCTGGTATGGTTACTGCTGAATGGGCTGCCTTTCAGGTTAAAAGATTTCTGGAAGATACCCACTTGGCCTTTATGCTCATTTGTCAGCATTTTAGAATTGGTAGTTATGGGGGTGTTGGTTGTGGTTGTGCAGGGGTATTCTCCTATGCCTTCACATGGGTTCTTGGCATCAAGTCCGCAACCGCACCCATATATGTGGGGAGTTCAGGTACCTTTTTACTTTTATGTTTAGTCTCAAGTATTATCAAGCTATTATTTCACATTGCTGTTGTTATTGTATCGATGCAAAATTATCAAATGAAAGGATTTCATATGCACTATCATAGCACCAAAAAAGGAGTTCTAATCCAGGTCGTGGATCAGTAAATTCATCCAATCTCCATAACAATCCTAATGTGTCTAAGTTTTATTTATGTAGTGTAATTGGATCAAGATCTGACCTTGTTCCATGAAATATCCATGAGGTTCCTCTTTTAAAAAGTTCCCAAGAGGGCCTAGATGATCCATAATTTTTTTTTCATTTTTCCTTTCCTTTATTCACTTCCTTATGTTGTTTTAAAAATTAATGTATTCTCGTACTAACAAGTAACTTGAAATGGTTAACAAACAGAGATGGTCCATGATAGGATTAAACTAGAAGTTGAAACAGCTTGACATAGCTTAATTATGCGGGGGATAAGCTTCATGGATCTGTAAATATTGCTTATTTAATCTGAGAAAGCATATTCCTCATTGACTTAGCTGACATTCTTCGAGGCGTTACTATTTCTCTATCGTTTTTGAACATCGAATCTGCATGTTACGATCGAGCATATATAAAAGATCTTTGGATTTTTCAATCATATATGAAACTAGTCATGCTCAATCATATAAAATGCCAACTACCTTCAATGAATATATAATTGCTTCATAGGCATGCTTCTGGATTCCCACTGGATTGTTCTTCTGCTTTGGTGCATGACACACCCTGGACTCTCTCCCACTCCTTGGGGAGAAAGACGCAGAATTTGGCAAACCATCTTTTATTTTTCTGAACGTATTCGCCTTTTATGTTAAAATGTTTAATTTTAATTTATTTTAAGTGTTTTCACTCTCCTTACTGGACATTTCCTAGAAAACATGGTTAAAGAGCTCTTATATAAAGCTTGCTATTTCTACTGGGTTGGAATAATACAAAGACCATAATTAGGCAAGGTCTAGGATCCCACCAATTTGTGAGGCCCATTCATCCGAAACTAGTTTCCCAATGATATCTTTGGATAGTAATGTTCAATTTATCATTTTCATGTCAATTGATGTTGCTATTTTGCCCTTGAAAATTTAATGATTATTTTTAAGATCGTAATTTTTGTTTGAAATTATTAATTGCAGCAATTTATGCCACCCTTCGGCACTCCACCCCATCCGTACGTTGCAATGTATCCCCCCGGGAGTATATATGCACATCCAACTATTCCTCCAGTATGTTGTTGCTTTGTTTGTTAATACATAGCTAGATCATAATCCTTTATTGAATTCTCTAACATTTTTATGGTGTCTTAAAAACTTGATTAGGGATCATACCCTTTCAGCCCTTTTGCTATGCCATCTCCAAATGGTATTGCTGAAGCTTCTGTGAGTTACTGTACCACTTGTTATATTCCCTATCTTTCTTCTCCATTGTTTTTTTCCTTATTATAATTTCCATTGCTGACTTATCATTTTCATGTCAATTGATGTTGCTATTTTGCCCTTGAAAATTTAATGATTATTTTTAAGATCGTAATTTTTGTTTGAAATTATTAATTGCAGCAATTTATGCCACCCTTCGGCACTCCACCCCATCCGTACGTTGCAATGTATCCCCCCGGGAGTATATATGCACATCCAACTATTCCTCCAGTATGTTGTTGCTTTGTTTGTTAATACATAGCTAGATCATAATCCTTTATTGAATTCTCTAACATTTTTATGGTGTCTTAAAAACTTGATTAGGGATCATACCCTTTCAGCCCTTTTGCTATGCCATCTCCAAATGGTATTGCTGAAGCTTCTGTGAGTTACTGTACCACTTGTTATATTCCCTATCTTTCTTCTCCATTGTTTTTTTTCCTTATTATAATTTTTATTGCTGCAATTATTTCCCATGACCTCTTGGTAAAATGATTTTCAATATGACTTATAGCCTAACACTCCCGGCAACATGGAACTGGATGGTAAGTCATCTGAGGGGAAGGAAAAACTTCCCATCAAAGTATCTAGGGGAAGTTTAGCCAGTTTGAATATGGTTACTGGGAAGGATATTGAACCTGGTAAAACATCTGGTGCATCTGCAGATGGTGTGCATTCCAAGAGGTATGATGAAAGTACAAAACAACTAAATTGAAGGAGACAAATAATTTCATAGTTGTAGTAGGATATGAAGGTACACTTATAATAATTTGTGCCAGGTTCTTACTTTTGGCAAGATACTGGAAACAGGGTTTAATAGAACATTGCTGCATGCTATTTTGTTGATGTGGGTTTTTAGAACTCTTAGGAACATTTTGTTACTTCGCTGTTGGGTTTTATTTATATTTAATGCATTTGCTATTGTATTTCCCTGGAGAATGATGTTTAACAAATTCTCCCTTTGCCATTGTTTCTCTTGATTGTCTCTATGTTTGCTTAGTTTTACAAAGTGGTAATAAGTTGATAGCTGCAATCTATTATATTTATTGTTCAAAACTGTCAAGAAGATGAAGACTATATGGTACTTGTGTTGTGTGTTTAATTTGTTTCCTCTTCCTGTCAGTTGTTAAGGAAAATTTTGGCAATTCTATTTGCAGTGGTGAGAGTGCAAGTGAAGGGTCCGGTGAAGGAAGTGATGCAGATTCTCAAGATGTAAGTTTCCATAATGTGTTGCTGGATTCTACTGTAAATTAATTTAGTTTGATGGCCATTTTGTTTCTGTCTAGCCACAAGTCTGGATGAATTTTCACGATTCCTTGGACTACAGAGGATGAGAATCCTGTAATTGAATTACACTATTCTGGCGATTGATCTAGAAACAAATAAACAATGGTTCTGAGATAACAGTTGGAAAGTCTTATTATGTTTGGTATCAAAAACTTTGGGGAGCTGATATCCATATTCATTAGGTATTCTTTATATTGAGTGGGATGCTCAGATAATAGTTGTCTGGCTAATATGCATTTTCGTATTACCACGGATCTTGCTGCCTATCATACTGATCCTCAGTTATTAGCATTACAGGCTGTAGTTTCTTAATTCACTGAAATATAGCACATTTAGAACAATCCAAGCTAGAATAAGCCAACACTATGATGTTAACAGCATGTGTTTTTAACAATAAAAAGAGAAACATTTTTATTGCTACTGGAGTTTAAGCTTCACGGATTGAGATCTCAGTTCTGGAAAACTGTCAACTATAAAGATGTCCATTCCCCATAAAAATAAAATTAAAATTAAAATTAAAAAATAGTTAGCAGACTATCACAAAAAATAATGTTGATAACTAATTAAACTTCCCATTTGAACTTTTCCTCAGTTCTGATTGTTGTTCTGTTATGTACAGGACTCACAAATGAAGTCCGGAGGCCTGCAAGATTCTGGTGAGGTTCTAGGAATTTGTACTTCGATTGCTGTCGCTACCTTTTTCATAAGTTCTGATTACAAACCTTACTTTATAACTCTTCTACAGCTGAAACATCTCTGAATGGAAATGCTGGTCATGGTTCCCAGAATGGAGGACCAAATACACCTAATTCAGAAGTGAATCGAACTCGTTCTATCATGCCAATGGCAACAGCTGGGGTTGTGAGTGGTATTCCTCACACCACTAACTTAAATATCGGCATGGATTACTGGGGTGCCGCTACACCATCAACTATCCCTGCAATGCATGGTAAGGTACCCACTGGAGTTTAAGCTTCACGGATTGAGATCTCAGTTCTGGAAAACTGTCAACTATAAAGATGTCCATTCCCCATAAAAATAAAAATAAAAATAAAATTAAAAAATAGTTAGCAGACTATCACAAAAAATAATGTTGATCAACTAATTAAACTTCCCATTTGAACTTTTCCTCAGTTCTGATTGTTGTTCTGTTATGTACAGGACTCACAGATGAAGTCCGGAGGCCTGCAAGATTCTGGTGAGGTTCTAGGAATTTGTACTTCGATTGCTGTCGCTACCTTTTTCATAAGTTCTGATTACAAACCTTACTTTATAACTCTTCTACAGCTGAAACATCTCTGAATGGAAATGCTGGTCATGGTTCCCAGAATGGAGGACCAAATACACCTAATTCAGAAGTGAATCGAACTCGTTCTATCATGCCAATGGCAACAGCTGGGGTTGTGAGTGGTATTCCTCACACCACTAACTTAAATATCGGCATGGATTACTGGGGTGCCGCTACACCATCAACTATCCCTGCAATGCATGGTAAGGTACCCTCTCTTGGTGCTGGAGGAATGGTCACTACTGGATCACGGGAAAATGTTCAGTCACAGCTTTGGATACAGGTCTTCCTTTCTCCTTCTTTACCATTTACTGAATTGCATTTCCTTGTTTTTCTGGTTTTTAGATTGAGATGACGTGGGTCATGGGCTTGTGATCTAATTGATTTGCTGTTAGGCTTCAGATCTTTGTGTCTAGTCTTGTTTCATGGCTTTTACTGATATTTGGTCTATCAGCATGCTAAATACTGAGGTTGAGTGGATGTAAACATTTGAAACAAATTGTGATTTTCTGTGATATATTTTAGAGTTAAAGATTTACTCAATTTTCACCAATTGGTAGTTGATGCATGATGCAAAAAAGTTGCCAGCTAAAACCCATTGTCTATTTTTCTTGAGGAAGCGAATTGATTTGGTTTATCATGTATTTTTGGTTGGTTATTAGGTTGTTTAGAAGCTACTTATCTCGAGGGTAAAGCGAATTGATTTGGTTTATCATGTATTTTTGGTTGGTAATTAGGTAGTTTAGAAGCTACTTATCTCGAGAGTATAGGCTTTTTTCTGTATTCAAATGAAGTCCGGAGGCCTGCAAGATTCTGGTGAGGTTCTAGGAATTTGTACTTCGATTGCTGTCGCTACCTTTTTCATAAGTTCTGATTACAAACCTTACTTTATAACTCTTCTACAGCTGAAACATCTCTGAATGGAAATGCTGGTCATGGTTCCCAGAATGGAGGACCAAATACACCTAATTCAGAAGTGAATCGAACTCGTTCTATCATGCCAATGGCAACAGCTGGGGTTGTGAGTGGTGTTCCTCACACCACTAACTTAAATATCGGCATGGATTACTGGGGTGCCGCTACACCATCAACTATCCCTGCAATGCATGGTAAGGTACCTTCTCTTGGTGCTGGAGGAATGGTCACTACTGGATCACGGGAAAATGTTCAGTCACAGCTTTGGATACAGGTCTTCCTTTCTCCTTCTTTACCATTTACTGAATTGCATTTCCTTGTTTTTCTGGTTTTTAGATTGAGATGACGTGGGTCATGGGCTTGTGATCTAATTGATTTGCTGTTAGGCTTCAGATCTTTGTGTCTAGTCTTGTTTCATGGCTTTTACTGATATTTGGTCTATCAGCATGCTAAATACTGAGGTTGAGTGGATGTAAACATTTGAAACAAATTGTGAGTTTCTGTGAGATATTTTAGAGTTAAAGATTTACTCAATTTTCACCAATTGGTAGTTGATGCATGATGCAAAAAAGTTGCCAGCTAAAACCCATTGTCTATTTTTCTTGAGGAAGCGAATTGATTTGGTTTATCATGTATTTTTGGTTGGTAATTAGGTAGTTTAGAAGCTACTTATCTCGAGGGTATAGGCTTTTTTCTGTATTCATGGTTTATGAAATCCTTCCTATAAACTAATTATTTCATCTAAAAGTATTAAGAATCGACTGTACATATTGTAGAAAATAGTAGTTCAATATTGCTACAGATCACATAATTTGATGTGCTTGCCTTTGTATTTTTGGATGCCTTGTTACAATGTTACAACACTTAGATTGAATATGTCAAATGTCTATATTTCAAAATGTCCTTTTTGAGTCTGTAATAGAAAATTGCGTAATGTTATGGGCATATTTTCAAGTGTGTCCCAAAGCATGTTGTTAAAGGTGGAATGCAGTTCCTAATATGAGATTGTGATGATGATCTGTCAAAAGAAATTCCCTCTTTTTTTTTTTCACTTTCAGCCAAGAGGAAAGTGTGACAGGTAATATGAGGATGGAGCATCTGATCTTACTATCCATGCTCTAATATATAGACATATATAACTTCAAATAAATCTGAATGTACATTACAATTCATTTTGCCATCAAGGCGCTCCTTGATTTTCTTTGTTATGTTATTGAATGCTGGCTCAACATTGGACATTGATTTATCGCATCGTCTTTTGTGGTGGTGTTTGCTGCTTTATGCGTTCATGGCTATCCATTAATTTCCTTGTCTAGTGTATATGTACTAAATTCCAACTTTTGGGGCTATCTAAAATTATTAGCCAGTGAAAAAATCAACGCAGCCCTGCTTTACTGATATTCAATATATTTTGAAGTTAGGAGAGGAAGGACAGAGAAAATATCTTACTTATTAGGAAATCCTGAAGTTTGAAAATAAGAAAAAAACCCAAGGGATATTTTACTCCTTATTCTAGAGTTAACTCCCCTGAGAGCATTTTTACGAAGAGAATGAGACCCATGGTCATTTAATCAGAATAATTGGTCTTCCTACCTTTGGGCTCGAAAGCTTCTAGGTCAAATAAGTGGAGAATGTTAACAGGGGATATTGTTACTAGACAGAAAAGGCAACTAGTTCTGTGGCCCTTTTCAAAGCTTCAAAGCATGTTGTTAAAGGTGGAATGCAGTTCCTAATATGAGATTGTGATGATGATCTGTCAAAAGAAATTCCCTCTTTTTTTTCTTTTTTTTTTTACTTTCAGCCAAGAGGAAAGTGTGACAGGTAATATGAGGATGGAGCATCTGATCTTACTATCCATGCTCTAATATATAGACATATATAACTTCAAATAAATCTGAATGTACATTACTATTCATTTTGCCATCAAGGCGCTCCTTGATTTTCTTTGTTATGTTATTGAATGCTGGCTCAACATTGGACATTGATTTATCGCATCGTCTTTTGTGGTGGTGTTTGCTGCTTTATGTGTTCATGGCTATCCATTAATTTCCTTGTCTAGTGTATATGTACTAAATTCCAACTTTTGGGGCTATCTAAAATTATTAGCCAGTGAAAAAATCAACGCAGCCCTGCTTTACTGATATTCAATATGTTTTGAAGTTAGGAGAGGAAGGACAGAGAAAATATCTTACTTATTAGGAAATCCTGAAGTTTGAAAATAAGAAAAAAACCCAAGGGATGTTTTACTCCTTATTCTAGAGTTAACTCCCCTGAGAGCATTTTTACCAAGAGAATGAGACCCATGGTCATTTAATCAGAATAATTGGTCTTCCTACCTTTGGGCTCGAAAGCTTCTAGGTCAAATAAGTGGAGAATGTTAACAGGGGATATTGTTACTAGACAGAAAAGGCAACTAGCTCTGTGGCCCTTTTCAAAGCTCCCCAGTAGACGACTTTTTAACTCCAAGGAGAAACAAACAGAAGAAATCCTGTGTGTAATGCATCCTAACTGCTATCAAGAAAATCTAACGGTGAAATTATCAGTATGTCCCTTCTTTGTTGCTAGTCAGTGTCATGATATAGAAGCACATGAGGCAGTGTGTGTCGAGGCAAGGCATATATTCTCGTGAGTGGTCTTGCATGAGCAGAAGTTTAAATTTTTATATCCTGCTTAGAATAGTATTATTTTCTTATTGGACTTGACTTAGGCAGTTTTAGGTTACTTTATATTTTATATTTTAGACTCCAGTTTTCGTATGTTTTTTGGGTTTTTCTGCCAGATTGTGAATGACTTTTCTGTAGAGGTTAAGTTGTGTTAGTTAGAGTGGGTTTTGGAGTTATTAGATTTAAAGAGTTTATGAGTAACCTGTGTTCTTCAGGAAACATATCAATTGATTACTATAATTGATTACCAAGTCTCTGGTGTTTTACTTCTGTCTCCACAATAATCCTTTTGTGTTTTCAGTCTTGATATTATTTTATTGGTTTAAGCTTGTCCTCCCACCAAATGGCTTGAATCGCCATTATCTAATGTAACCCATATTTCAAAGCAAATACTACGGTTTGTTTGCCCCTTTTTTTGATATTTTATTTTTAGGTTTTAAAATCCTTGTGCTTTGTGATGTAGGCATTTAGGAGAAGGGGGTGTGTGCTTGACCAACAATCCAGCTTAATTATTAGATGGTATAAAATGTAAAAGAACATGAAAAGAATAGACAATAAAAGGTTAGGATTGAAGCTACCATTGTATCACTTATTTTCATCAATGGTAAAGTTAAGCCATTTAAATAGCCTTTTCCTCTCGAAGCATTATACACGTAAGATTCAAAAAAGTTAGTTTCCTTGTCATTCTGCAATGCAAGAAAGAGTACTATTGGTTTGCAGTATGATAGAAAGGTTGGGAAAAGTGGCCTATTTTTATGGTTGGATTTTTCTGAATTTGAAACATGGGTTGATCTTCCTCACTGTCTTATTCTATTTTCTGGTTTTCTTGTTATTCTTATCATCACACGTTAATTCATAATTGCATAATAGAGAACTCTGATATAGGATCAGAAAGGAAAAAGGTTAAAACTCGTAAAGGTTTCATGAAATGTCACTCAACTATTTCCTGTTTGGTTTTATGTACATTTATTAAAATGCTTTGTAAATTGAATTGGCCTTCTAAACTTGAAATGGACTTGTGTCTATGAAAATGTACTGTCAACTCCGTTCATTGTGGACCCTTATGAGTGAAGTCAAAGGGGACTGTAGAACAATGCTTATGATCATGTAGGTTGGTTATTTTGGCTTTACTGGTCAATGTTTCCTGCAGTCCATAATGTTCTTTATGTCTATGATTGGATATCAGTTCTTTTCCTTGGCAGTTGAAACATGGGTTGATCTTCCTCACTGTCTTATTCTATTTTCTGGTTTTCTTGTTATTCTTATCATCACACGTTAATTCATAACTGCATAATAGAGAACTCTGATATAGGATCAGAAAGGAAAAAGGTAAAAACTCGTAAAGGTTTTATGAAATGTCACTCAACTATTTCCTGTTTGGTTTTATGTACATTTATTAAAATGCTTTGTAAATTGAATTGGCCTTCTAAACTTGAAATGGACTTGTGTCTATGAAAATGTACTGTCAACTCCGTTCATTGTGGACCCTTATGAGTGAAGTCAAAGGGGACTGTAGAACAATGCTTATGATCATGTAGGTTGGTTATTTTGGCTTTACTGGTCAATGTTTCCTGCAGTCCATAATGTTCTTTATGTCCATGATTGGATATCAGTTCTTTTCCTTGGCAGAATAATTTTTTTCCCCATTAATCTCCTCGAGTGACTAGCTACTTGAATGCCTTCATGTTACTTCTAAATTCAGGATGAAAGGGAGATTAAAAGACAGAGAAGAAAGCAATCAAACCGGGAATCTGCTCGCCGATCCAGACTGCGCAAGCAGGTACGAGTTATTTCACAGCTAATTTAGTCTATGCTCACACTAGTTATCGTGCAAGAAATGGACTTGTGTCTATGAAAATGTACTGTCAACTCCGTTCATTGTGGACCCTTATGAGTGAAGTCAAAGGGGACTGTAGAACAATGCTTATGATCATGTAGGTTGGTTATTTTGGCTTTACTGGTCAATGTTTCCTGCAGTCCATAATGTTCTTTATGTCCATGATTGGATATCAGTTCTTTTCCTTGGCAAAATAATTTTTTTCCCCATTAATCTCCTCGAGTGACTAGCTACTTGAATGCCTTCATGTTACTTCTAAATTCAGGATGAAAGGGAGATTAAAAGACAGAGAAGAAAGCAATCAAACCGGGAATCTGCTCGCCGATCCAGACTGCGCAAGCAGGTACGAGTTATTTCACAGCTAATTTAGTCTATGCACACACTAGTTATCGTGCAAACCTTAATGCTGTTTCTATGTCTTGTTATATTGGATTTTAGGCAGAATGCGACGAGCTGGCCCAGCATGCTGTAGCTTTAAAAGAAGAAAACTCGTCTCTTAGAGCAGAAGTGGCTCGTATACGGAGCGAGTATGAGCAACTTTGTGCCCAGAATGCATCTCTGAAGGTATTATCCAATATTTGGGTTTATAATCTTACCAGAAATCTTGGTGCAAATCAATATTAAGATTTAAGCTAGCTCCCGATGGTAATATTGAAGCATGTTCGTACGCCCTGATGTTTTCATTAACAACTATTTAAAAGCAGGTAAATTCACTTGCATTTACTGGACTTGTAGAGTAATCTCATCTCAGTCACTGTACAATTTTTTTGGTCTCAAACTGATTACTAGTCTTATAACTAGTTTTAATGTAGTCACTCTGTCCATTCCCTAGCCAATCTAATGAAAAACTCCAATATGGTTGCAGATGTGGCAATCAACATGGAAAATGAGTGACTCGATTAAAATTAAAAATTTCAAGTACACTAACTGGAATTTCTCTATAAGTTTAATTTCTTTTGCTCTTTGTTTTGTCTTCGAAGATAATAATGCTGAGGCGTACAATCTCATGAAAATTTTCTTCCACAAATATGATTTTGCAGGAGAAACTTGGTGAAAGTTCCAGTCAGGATGATCCGAGGTGCAGTCAGGATTCCGGCCAAGCAGATAACGAGCAAAGTGGGCAATGAGTTTTGAGAATGAGTGGCTTAACCTAACCAGTAGTGATATGAACTCCAAAATTTAGGTATTGTGTAGTTGAAAATTCTGTCAAAACTTACGATTCTAGTCCCAATATTTGTTTGTCAATTATTGCCCATTATTTGCCATTTGACCAACGTTTTATGGTTGAGGAATCCAGATATAATGTAGAGCTGGTAATTTGTGATTTTACCCTCGTTCAGAAAAAAAGGGTATTGCGTTCATCCATGTTATATTTTTATGTATTAAATTATGGAAATTGTACTGCGAATGTTCGGTAAGATGGATTGACAGTCTATTTAAAGAGAATACCATCCAGTTTAATACTAAGAGAAAAAAAAATATCTCTAGTTTTTATATACATTTAAGTTTGTAGCATTTTGTGTTCACCTTCACAACTAGTATGTTGCCTTGTGAATTATTGCTGTTACCTTGATTACAATGTGTAACCCACTAGACTTTGAGTCGTTTCATTTACTTTTCCTAGCTATAATACTCGTTTCATGTATACACCATTGCATTGTTTACCAAGATTTACCGCGAGAGTTATTTCTTTCAATCTCTATGCACGAAAAGGTACAAATATAAAGCCAAAAAGGGGTAAAACTGAAATTCAAAAGCCATTAGCAACAAAAAATTGTAGTAGGTGATCACCCATTACAAAACCGAACGATCGCTCGTTTACACAATTGGCTTCCGTAATTCAAAATCTAGACCGGGCAATCGCCCAGGCCATTTTCCTGCTTCTACCATTTTTTGTTCTTGTTTTGTTTCCACTTGTTTTTCTCATGGTTGATCACTCTAATCACTTTCAAATTTACTTCTAATTGTTAATTTGAACAACATCCAGCAATCTTCCACTTATTCAAATATAAAATAAGTTCAAACTCAAGTTTAATAATATTTATGTATAGAGTATGGATATCTTTTGATTTGAACCCAATTTTAGCGTATATCTCACAAAGTCATCATTGAAATTCTAGGTAGCATGAAAACTTTGAACCTATAATTCCTTGTGATGATATCGATGAAATCACACACACGAGAATTAATTGTTCCAAGTTCCATACAATCTTGTTTAGCGCTCTTATGGTCATGCGTTTCTCTTTTTCATAAATTTTTAAGAGAAAAACTTCAGCTCTATAAAGGTGGTACTATACGATGAAATTTCATGTATTAAAATACAGAAATCGTTACAAATTGTATTTTTGATAAAATACAAGTGATGTTGGCCTTCTTATAATTGCAAAATTGCAAAAATCTCCTGATTAATAATATGAATATTTGAAGACGAGGGGCCACGTGGTTTGAATTCTGGCATTCGAGAATTTGTTGAAAATTTGATTTGTCGAGACTTGACTTATTCAAAACTTGAATCTTGAGGCTTGAACTTGAATTTGATTTGATTTGAAAAAGACTTTGATTTTCTTGAATTTGGTGTGAATCTGTTTGATTCGAAGAAGATTTTAATCTTCTTGGGGTTCACCGAGTTTAGGTTTGAGAGAATTTCTTCCCTTATTCCGGCCTTGAAATTTTTTCAGCACTTCGTGACGTTTTCTGCTTTCTTTCTTACTTCAACTTAATCTCCCCATGTAGGATTCAAATCTACAATCAATCAGTTAACAGCCGACCACTCTACCAATGAGCTACTGAGGAACAACGGGAGATTAGATCTCACCTCTTGTTTCCCTGTCTTATGGACAATCGATCTTATTTATAGGGGACAATTCGTGCTAATTTTGGTAATTACTTAATTATATTTAATTAAAATGAATAATTGAGTAATTATGATTTTATTTATTTATTTATTTATTTGTTTGTTTGTTTATTTATTTAAAATGTGATAGGGGTCTTCGAGTTTTTATGGACTTTACTAGGCTTAAAATTTAATTGGGCTAATGATTTGAATAAGCCAAATTCATTTTATTTTATTTATGTCTACAAATGACTCTCAAGATTTATTTATTTATTATGAAATAAATAAATTAATAAATCTTGATTTCGAATTTCTTGATTTGTTCGATTTTTTTAATTTGGTTTGATCTCAAACATCCTATTAGTAAATTAATACTGATGAAAAATTTGAGAATGAATTTAATAAAATTCTTATCCCTTGAATTTATGAATAATAAATTTTTTTTTGTCGAATTTTGATTATCTATTTATTTATTTTATACGACCCATAACAAATTTTATTTGATTAGGCTTTTTTATGTTTTATGGTAAATTGGGCCTAAGAAAAGCCCGTTACACGCCTATTTATGCGAAGAAATTATAAGACTTGGGAACAAGTCTGTTAAATCTTGTAAATAGAGGTAAATGATTTTTTATTTTTATTTTTTTTATTTTCATCTCTCGTTATCCCCTCTCTCTCTCTTTCTCTCTCTCTTATAATATTATTTTACTTTTTGTTGGTTTCCACACATTATGATTTCTGCTTAGTAGAAATCATTTTCTTTTTCCATTTTTTTTGACGTGACCCCTTTTATTATTATTATTATTATTATTATTATTATTATTATTAATACGTTTCTTGGTTTCCGTCATCTGGGCGGCGGAAACCAAAAGTGACCAAATTGTGGGCACTTTGGTTTCTGTTTGGCAGAAACCTTAACATTATATATATATATATATATATATATATTACACGTAAGCCCCTCCCCCCTTTTTTCTCATGTTTTGTTTTTTTTTTCTTTTCCTTTATTTATTTATTTATTTTTTGGTTGATTACTATTATTGTTATTGTTTTTGTATTTTTGTTTGAACAAAGTTGAAACTAACTTTTTCTTTTTTCTTTTTTTTTTTTACACTGCAGGGATTCAACCTTTTTGGAGCGAATCAAGGATTTTGAGGTTCAAAGTTTTCTTTGTGTAGATGTTAAATTTTTTTTTTTTTTTTGCAATTATTTTATGAGTTCAGGAAATATATGCTTATGAATAAATTTAAAATTGCAAACCTTTATACACATTGAGGACTAAAGACTGTCACTTTTCACCATCTAATGCACTTTTTGTTAGAGACCAAGGACCTACTTCTTCGACCGTTCAAGGCACTTCATGTTTGAGACCAAGGACTTGCTCCTTCGACCATTCAAGGCATTTTGTGTTGAGGACCAATGACCTGTTCCTTCGATCGTCCAAGACACTTCGTGTTTAAAACCAAGGACCTGCTCCTTCAATCGTTCAAGGCATTTTGTGTTGAAGACCAAGGACATGTTCTTTCGACCGTCCAAGTCACTTCATGTTTGGGACCAAGGACCCGTTCTTTCAACCATCCAAGGCACTTTGTGTTAAGGACCAAGGATTGGCTCCTTCTATTGTCCAAAGCACTTTGTGTTAAAGACGAAGGACCTATTCCTTCAACTGTCCAAGAAACTTTGTGTTGAGGACCAATGACCGTTCCTACGACAGTCCAAGGTACTTCTTGTTTGGGACCAAGGACCTGTTACTTCGACTGTCCAAAACACTTTTTGTAGAGGCTGCTTACATATTTGGGAGACTCTTGATTTTAGACGATAAACCAATTTAAGAGATTTACCTCCCTTTCTCTCTTTTTTTTTTTTTTTTTTTGCAGGCATAGCTAGAATAAGTTGTAATGATAAATCATACTCTGACATACACGAAGTTATCTGCATTTCAAAGATACTGATGTGAAGTATCATGCCTAGGCTGGTGTACGAGGTGAACTTAAATTTAGTGTCCATAAGCCAATGACGGATCCTCCTCCTGATCATCTGGACCCATTGTCAGAGTTGCATATGTCCAACATTAGTGAATTTCTTGAGGATTTGGATGTCAGCAAGTCCAACCGCTGTAGCAGTCATCTTAACTTTCTGTGTCTTCCGCCTCATCATTCTCAGAGCATGGAGTGCATCCCAAAGGCTGTAATTTGTGAGAGAATTAATAATAGAGAAATACGATGAGGAAGCGCACTAGTCAGTCGAGGAGAGATTTTTTTTCTTCCAAAATTTTGGGAGTGGTCTTTATGGGTCCAAAAACTTCTACTCAAAAGGAATCTTAGCGAGTTAGCTTTTGCAGTCGGTTTTGCTACAAAAGATTATCATTGCCCAAACTCTATTTATAGAGCTCTTGTGAGGTTTGGTGTTCAGAGACCAATACCTTTGTGACTGCCAATGGTGAAATTGGCATTTCTCTTTGAGACATCCGCGAGATAAGTAGACTTTCGATCATGGGTTATTACTATGAGAAAATAGTCTCAAGCCTTTCAGAGTTGATGGATCATCTTCCCAAGTCTTGTCTGTACCTCTTTAATATATTAGCATTGACTGTCCATGCGAATGAATCTGATAGGGTTATTCATGAAGAATGAATTAATTTTTAGTTTCACGAGAATGGTTGTGTCTAGAATCCTCGACAACTCAAAAATTATAAGAATGCTATGAATTTAAATCCATTCAA